CTTGAGTAAACACACAAAAAGTTTTTGAAAAGATAATTATTTCTACTGTCAGGAGTAAAAGCAGAGGTAGTTACTGGTACTTGAAGTTATGGATGCTGAAGAATCAGAATATAGAATAGTGCCACCCACAGTTTAAATAATGTTGGTATTTCTGATGATCAGCATATTTTATAACTTTTCAACAGTTAAGCAGCAAAGCCTATGGCAATAGCCATGTAATTGCTGATTCCTAGGAAAGATTTATGTCATTTGCCATCACAACTCATCTTTAACAGATAATTGATGCACATTTGTCTGTAAGACTCTGTAAGAAATGAAATTGCATTGATGTGATGGTACTGGGTGCCCTGGTGTTACAGAAACCAACAGACCAACAGGAGCAGTATAAAAACGTGCAGAACAGAGCTGCATTTTATTGCTCTGTCCTAGCATTTCCTTCCATTTTAACTACACCAATGGAATCTAATTAATCTCAAAGCCTGTGTTATCCTTGTATCTCTTGTGCTACTACTCTGAAAATTGTATGTAAATCTGAAAATATTATTCCAAATTTTGAGACAAGCCCTCTTAAAAATCAAACCAGGTCACACCAGTAAGTCTATAGGATTCTTTCTCATCATCACTTTATCCTTAGAATCCAACATTTATGTCAGAAACATCATTCTGTGGTCATCCAGAAATACCTGAATTAATAATTTTCTTTCTGTCTAGCCTATTTTGCCTTCCTCATTGGAAGACTGTCCAGTCTGGATAGCTGTGAATGAAGATGGTATCAGCATACTGGATTATAACACAATGGTATGTTGAGAAAAATACCTTACCCCGCCCCAGAAAGACATTCCCGAGTCCACTGAAAGTCACTAAAAGTTTGTCTTTAACTTCAAATGGATCCAGAAGTTAATTTGTAAAAGTCAGATGATGGAAGTCAGTGCTATGTTTGAACACTGCATAGACAAGGGAAAATTACAGCTGCAGTGTAAGGTAGGCTAGCAAACATGCTCATACATCTTTGCAAAATCTCAGTAATGTGTGTTTTGCTACCACCATCTGGGATATAACAAAATTTGGACTATGAATCAGTGAGGTATCAAGCGAGCCAGGAGAAAACCAGAAATGCAATTGTTACTTGAGCTTTTTCTGCCAGCTGTTACCTATAGAGCCTGTAGTGCCTGTTACTGCTGGAGATCCGGTGTTCTTGCAGGAAGCAGCAATATAAATTAATACATTATTATAAGATTGGCATTTTGGTCTTTTTACAGAACTATGACTTTTTCAAATTCTCTATCTGCAGCATCTGAAGGTCTCTTATTCATACTCCTCTGTGCTGACCTTTGGAGGCTGTCGAGATGACTTCATGATTGTAGTCAGTCAAATGAAAGAAAACAGTTCTGGAAAAAACAGCACTGAAAAACTCCTCTTCACAATGGCAGTTCCTAAGGTAATTACAAAATGAAAAGCGAGATTCTTTCCAGCTGGCAGCATCAGAACTGGGTGTTTTGTATAAGCCCTGGGGACTGGTACTTGTGAGTACTGCACTAGCTATACACATTCAACAAATTCCTTGTAAGCTGGAACCTTTGACCACGAGACTTACTTTACCTAACTCTTACAGACAGATTTTCATTTCAAAACTGAACAATTCCATGTGAGACAGCCATTTATAAAAGTTAGGCAGTCAAATAGGTTCTAAAAATCAAAGGGCACTTTTACCTCTAGTTGACTTACAGTTAATCATTTTCTTTTTTCCCCAGATTGTTGAAGCAACACTTCTTATTGCCAGCTACATTAACTACCGCTCGTCACCTTCACTCCTGTCTTCTACACAGCCCTCCCAAAGCAAAACACCTGCTAAGAAGCTCTGGGAGACTGAAAATCGGTGCTTTTTTCCTTCCATGCCCCGAAGCACTAAGGGGCCCACCCTGCTCTGAGGGCTCATTCCAAACGAGCTATGATTCTTCTGGTTACACACCACTACTTTAATGTGGACTCTGATTCTTTTTCCATAATAATAGACAAAGTTCCTTAGAGGTAGAGGCAGTGTCCTTTCTCTTGGGGGGGAGGGGGAAGTTATTTTGGGGGACTGTGCAGGAGTTTCCTTTCCATGACACACTCCATCCAAAATACCATGCCTCAGGTCATTTACCTGCACAGTGCTCCAGTTACATTACATCTGCTCTCTTTCCTTACACTGATTATTCCATCTCGTACCTTTCTGCTTTGCTTTAGAAACACATACATTTTCTTTGATCCCTCACATTTGCAGCTTGCAGAAGACAGAAACTTTCCAAGTCCTTGCTCCAGACATGAAGAAAGACATTACTGAGAAAGAAGAGGAACTAAACTGACAAGAATAATTCCAATGCAGGTCAAGGGTGATTTTAGACCTGAAATAGGGGGTATAGAATTAGAGTTCAGTGGTACTTTAGAATGTTTTCAACTTTAAATGAAAGTGGAATCCTAGTGTCTTTAGATGTTGAGGACTCAGAACAACTGAGACTAGAACAGTGTCAGAGCATGTCAGCTCCTATGGGACTGATGCATTTTAGAAGCTGACACTGTTTTACGCAATAGATGAACATTAAACTGATGCTGCAGGGCTGAATGTGTCCCATGCTCCACTGTCAGACAAGCACTTTCAAGGACTTTCTGCTATAATCACTGTAGATGTGTTTGAAACTGCACATTATCTCAGACAAGGGAAGACAAGACAAGCAAATTTTGTACTTTTTCTGTCTTCCAGCAACTAGAACACATCTTGTTCCCAAATAAGGTCTGCCATTCTGACTTGACAGAAGCTGCTCCTTTCAAACTCCTGCTTCCTTCATGCTACCATAAGCAAGGAGGAGGTAGTCAGCAAATGTGTACTCAAGTACTGTTCTTCTGACTTTCCTAAAGAATTGTGGTAGATTTAATTTTTTTATCTGTTTCAAAGGGACTTTGTTTTGAGAAGGTTATTGAAGTTTAAACAAGTAAAAGAAAAATAGCAATTCTTCATGAAAAATCTAAATCTACGTAGCTTGAGTTCAGCTCTTTTGATAAGCATTCTAAAAAAGCTAAGGAAAAATAACTGTACTTTCAAAAGTACCATGTGCAACTTCATAATAATTATGCATTCCTGGGCAACTTTCCCAAATTAAAACAGTGTGAACCCAACCACTAGAATGAATTCAGTAATAGCAAACCAAAGCTATGAACAAAGCAAATGAACAAACCAACCATACCAGTGTTTTTAGTACCTGCCACCAACCTTGAAACATCCAACTAATGCACACAAGGGCGCTGATACATCAAGCTGATACATTTTTGTTTCATGCTTAGGTGGGGGCAAAGCCACAAATTAGGAGTATGGGACAGACAAAAATTGCTCTTTGTAATACAAAACAAAAAAAAAAAAATAAAAATCCCCAAACAAACAAAAACCCAACCCCAAACCACCCCATGGTGGGTTATGGAAACACTATGGCAGACATAAGACAGGAAAAGATTGTATGAACAGTGACCTGATTTGCACATACTGTAATGTAGCCACTTGTTATGAATTTAAAGAGCATCCCTTGAAGGTACAGAAGAGGGTAGCTTTCTGAGCCAAAAATAATTTTAAGAAGGTATTTAGTCTTTTTTGTTTTCCCTTTGATACTTTTAAGCGACTGTATATCCTGATGGTAGTTTGTATTTCCTCTCTCTCTCACACACACACACACACAGAGTGATCTCAGTATAGTTATGTCAGTTTGAATACATGAAGTATTACTCCTCCTCACTCAATCACCTGTGCCTACCAAGTTCTCCTGTATCTGAAGGTCTGTTTGGCAGCCTGCTTCTGGTATCCCACCAGTGACAAAGCTGCTTTAGAATAGGCTGAAGCCATGGGATGTCCCAGCTGTCATCAGTGCTGGAGGTGCTCAAGGCATAGAAGTCTCCAGTTCACAGTTCAGAGGCTGTATTTCCTTACAGTGTTAACACTCATGTCCTCAGAGACTTGTACCAGGGTAAACAGGAAGCAGAGATGTTAAATAAACAGGAGCTGTCCTGAAGCTCATTATTTTCTGTCATAACTGCACTTTAAACTGAGAAGCATGACATATAGAACTTCTTTTCCTTCCTTATTTCTTAAAAATATTCACGAATACTTGAGTATTTCAGGGACCACCCCACTCTGATGGATGCATACACCCCTCCTATTTATAGCTTACCTGTCTTCAAACAAACAACCCACCCTGTGGAGATATCTGTTTTGTATGATTCTTTGGTAGAGAAAACAGTTTTTTATTTTAATCAATGCCTTTGACTATTGATGGAGCATAGAATGAGACGACAAAAGCCTTTGTTTTCCTAACTGCTGTGTGTATATAGAAGGCTGCCTGGAATATACTGTGAGATTTCTGTTTGTTCTTAATAAAATGCAGCTATCATGAATTAAACTGTATTATTCTCAGAAGAAAAGAAACTATTTTAAAAGCCAAAATATTCTCAATGTAAACAAAAATGAACAAAGATTGTGTTTGGTATCCAGGCACATACCTAGTGCAAACCTGCCCTAGTCTGATTCCTGTTTCTCTCTGCTGATTTCTCAGCTTCAGTGGATGACTAAACTATGGGGACAGGATGTTCACTCCTTCAAAAGATTGCTAAAGCAATCTTTCAGACTTCCTCCTGTGACACAGCTTCTTGGTAATTTCTTCAGTGCACATTCTGAGGACTTCATGGCATTTTTATAGCATAGTCAGCATTCACTGCACACTCTTAAGCCTAAGACTCTGTTCATTCTGTTGAGACATCATTTATTTTCTGACACAAAAGCCAGTGGCACATCCCCAAGCTGCTGCCTTTCACTTGGACAACCAGAATACTTCCTGTGACATGAGCTAACCTGTGTCTTTCAAACCTCATGGCACCACGAAAAAAAACCAGATCACCTTATCTCTACCCTATTGCATGATGGTATGTTGACACATGCTTTTATTTACAGATAATGCAGACAAGCACAATACAGCATTGTATGCAAATGAAGCATGACCCCAGGCTCCTGCCAACTTGTGGGTTTAGCTCAGTTATATTTCTAAGGAGTCATGGGAAAAAAAAAAAAAAAAGAGAGAAGAATACCAGTTAAGGGTTACAGTGACTTTTAGCTTATCAACAAAGAAGAATTTCCCAAGTTTAAGTTACTCCCAAGAGCACAGATCAATAAAGCTTTATTCACATTGTCATTACCATGATTTTCAACAACACATCTGCCTCCAAGCTGCCTCATATTCTTGGAGTAATTGATGTGGCCCTTTTAATGCCACATCTTTTCCATGTTCTGTGTCACCAGGTCCCTGCCCCATTCAGCAATGGGTTCACATTTTCCCTGTATTCCTTTTGATACTTAAGTACTTACTGAAGCCATCCTTGTTGCTTTTGACATCCCTCAACAGATTCATCCCCAGACAGTCTTTAACTGTCCTAACCACATCTTGAATAGTGTTGCTGTATTCCTCCTAAGTTACCTGTCCCTAATTCCACATTCTGTATACTTCCTTTTTGTGTTCAAGTTTTGCCAGGAGCAACTTGTTCATCCATGCAGGCTTCCTGGCATTTCTGCTCGACTTCCTGCTCTTTGGGATGGATTGTTCTTGAGCTTAGAAGAAATGATCTTTAATTATCAGTCAGCTTTCTTGGACCTCTCTTGCCTCTAGGACCCCATCCCATGGGACTCTTTCAAGCAGATCCCTGAAGAGGTAAGTCTGCTCTTTTATGTTTATTTCATTAAACATAACTGAATGCAACAGTATGTTTTCATTTTCTGTAACTGTCCTTATGAAATTCTCCTGTGATCGGTAATTTGCCATCCCAGCCTACACAACAGCTTTGGTATTTAGAGTGGTTTTTTCAAACAAAGGGTTAAATAGGAACCAAAGAATGCATCTTTTTGGCAGTCCAGCCAAAGTTACATTATGATTTTAGCATAATTTTCAGATGCACAAAAAAGTAAACAATCAATGCATTTTTTTGTCGCCCTCTGCCCCATTTCTCCGTAATTCTTTTCTGCCTAAGCCTAAAAAGTTCTGCTCACTTGTCTTCATAGCAGAGGATTTCAAGGTTCACTTCTGTGCTTGAGCTGACATTTTCTCTAACAATTCTATGAAGCTGTGCAGGCCTTTAGCCCTAACATCACTGCACCACTTTCTACTCATCTAATAAATGAAAGGCATGGGGTGGTTTTGCTTGCTTTTCCATGGGTCCCTCTGAGTTCTGCTGGAAGTCTGCTCCCTTGTTTGGGGTTTTTTTCAGCTATTTTATTCCACTTGATTGTGGAGCTGTCTTCCTCTGCTCCAGGATTTCTTGACAACTTTTATACACTTCTATCAAGCAGTCCAGACGCGGCTTGGAGCTCTAGAAGTCAAACAACAGAGAATCAGGTTCTGGACTGGCTGTAAAAGAACAGGAAAGCTTGTAACTTCCCACTAGTGAGACAGGCAGAGGTAGGAATGTGGAGACAGCCGACAAAGCTAGCAGAAGTGTGTATGTGTAAGGAGTGCAACAGTAAGACACCTGTAGCTCGTGAGCTTTCTCACATCAAGTCAATGGAGACTGGTACATGTTCATTGACTCCAGGAGGTGTCTGATGTAAGCTGGTGATACAGGAATGCAAAGTCATTCCATAAGCCATACCTGCTCTGTGATGAAAAACACCAGTCCCTAAAGTTGTCAGGTCAAGACATGCAGCACCATTCTGCAGTTAGCCTGAATCTCTCACCAAATCTGAAAGCCACTCCTTTCTCAGCTCACAGTTCACAGTGACAGCATGGAAGAATATCCACACTTTCCACCCATGACCCTATCGGTTAGGCCATACTCCCTCTAGAGACTAATGAACAGCAGATTTCCATACACTGGATCTACCATCCTAGAAGACCTCCACCCTGAAAAATCCACCTTCAGGACAGGGAGTTTAGACATCTGACCCTTGGCCTCTGCTACTACTGTCAACATAAGGACAATGGAAGGTTAACTGAAAACATAAATTAATTTTACACAAACAGCAAGTGGTGGTCAAAGGATAATAATTTTTCATCAATTCTAAACTGCACTAGATTAAAACCAGCAAGGAGGTGAAAGTTTCACAGTTCCACAGCCCCTACGATCCCATGACTTCTGAGCTCCCGAAACAGCATTACTGTGTAAAGTCCATCAAATGCCTCCTTGCAAGTGTTTCTTAAGAGAACAAAAGGTCAATTCAGTGCAGAAGGGCCCTGGGCTCAGTGACACGGGAAACTGTATTTCTTAAGGCTGACATAACTTACATGAACCTAATGAGCGTGACACAATACAGCCAAATAATCACTGCTTCTTCAAAACTAAGTAACATACTAACTTGCACGTTAAAGAAGGAATTACAGACAGGTACTGACTCGCAAACTACCACAGTTCTGTACCTCCTTTGCTGGTGGAGTCAACTCTAGCAGTACTAAGATGTTTCCATGAAAATAAAACTGTTCAGAGTTGAGATAAAAAAAAAAAAGAAACTATACAGATGCCAGGTAGCCTCTTTGAAGCTGGAAATGAGCATATCTAAAACCAGGTTCCCGAATGCAGCTCTCTGGAATTTATTTGTTGTTGATTTCCAGCAAATCCCTTCTTTCCCTTGTTTATGTGTAAAATATTTAATTTATATTACTCTTAGTAATATAGTCTTTACAATTGTGGGACTGAGTTAGCAGTAAGAATCAATGGAATAGCCTATTTATACCTGTAAGTTTTTAGAAGAAGACTAACTGTATCCAATCATAAACTGTATGTAGATTACAAAATGATAGTCACTAACAGTAGATGAATTAAGGACAGAGAGGGCTATACAGCTCAGTGGTCTAAAAAGTGAGGTACCTCTGTACTGCTTACCACCACTCACGGTTCAGGGCATTCTTGTGTTAGGCATGAACACACACAAAGAAATTCCATCCCAAAAATGGGATTATGAACAGTCAGAATAAGTTAGCAAGAGAAGAGAAAGGGGAAACAGGGTAACAGTAACACAAACAAGTTATTATACATTAAGCAAATTGGTCACGGCTTGTCCTGTGATCTTTGTCAATGTATAAGAGAGGGGAAGTCATTCCAATGCCAAGGAGGCTTTATGAACACTTTTGGCACACCGAGCTGAGAGAAAAATCAACTGCAGCACAGTGCCATAGGCCAGTCGGTGGGATGAATCGTAGCAGAAAGCACCATACTATTCTGTAACACAAGCCAAACAAAGGCAGACCTCTGGTCTTGCAATTATTTGAACACAGCTTTAGAGAAAGTAAAATTAAAATTGCACAGTAAATTATAGAAGAATAAAGGATGGTAACACTGAGCACAGGACTACACAGAAAGCTGTATGAGTCTTCAGTATCCTACATGAGCCAACAACTTTTAGTTCATGCAAACTCCTGGCTGGGTTCAGATTGACACAACTCCCTGTTCTTTGAATGGAGAGCAAATGAAAAAAACATCCCCAGTACATAGTTCTATGAGGCTTCTAATACCACCCACCCTGACAGCCCAGCCAGGGAAAGGCAACTGTAATCAGCTATCTGTCGTGGAATAAAGATATGCTTGGACAACTGGTGTGCACACACAGACCACAGATCTGGATTTTTCCACCAGTCAGTCAAACTCACCTGAAAGAGTGGCACAACCTCAGATACTCCCTGAGGATCTTCAGGGTCCTGGAGGAGGATACACAGGTAGTAGATAACTTTTTGCTACAAGACAGACACAATCATTGGAGGTTGAAAAAGCTATCAAACTGCCTGGAGTTAGCACAGAAAGAGGAACTGTTTCAACTCACTGAGCTGAAAGCCAATCATCCCAGGCCACAGTCAAGTCTACCAATTTATATCTACAGTTTTCACACAATAAAAAAATAACTTTACCTGTGTTTTTTTTTCTATTAAATTTTTAACCTGAAAAGAACACGCATATGCTGGAAGGGTAAGGTCTGCTCTTCTACAGGAGCTTTGCAGAAAACCCCAGCAATGGGAAAAATCATCATTTGTGTCTTCTACCTCCTCATCTCTGTCTTGACTACATACAGAGTTGGCCATCAGGATTTGTGAGAACAGCATAACGTAAAGAACTAAAATCATTAGCTCAATGTCAGTGGCATTGTCTAAGGGATGGATTTGGCTTTTTGAGATTTTTCCTTTGGTTTGAGTTCTCCTTTAAAGGTGAGAAAACAGATCAGAAAATAAACAGGGAAATCTGAAACAAAGTTCCTGATGTCAGTAAAGCTATGGATGGTGCTGTGTTTAATTGCTCTGGTAAACCATGCTCAAGAAAATACAATGGATGTGAGTGTGCCTACAGAGACAAGAAGAAAGGCTGTGTATCATTACCATATGGATGGCTTCGTTGATAACCACATCCTTCACCTGACCCATCTCAATGAAGGTTGTGCTCTCTTTTCCTGAAGCGTAGGATGAAGTCACCTGAATGCCGAGTGAGCCAATGACCAGCAGGGATTCCTGGTCAATTTTGACGAAGTGCAGGTATATGATCAGGCCAATCAGTGAGATGAAGATTGCGGCAGAAAGCACCACACTATTCTGTAACACAAGCCAAGCAAAGGCAGAGGTCTAGTCTTACAATTAATTGAACATAGCTTTAGAGAAAGTAGAATTGCACAGTAAATTAAAACATTAAAGCTACAGTTACTAAGTAATTTTAAGTAGAGTCAGCCCTTTTATCCACTGGGCTGGCTGACATGTGTAATGAGATTTAAATCAGTCTTCACAGTATGGACTGAAAGAATTGGGAATTGAAACTGAAAACTGTGAGAAAAGTCTATTCTCTCATAAATTTAGTGAGAAATCTCAACCAACACAAGCTAGTTGTATCAATGACTGTGTATAATACCAATGTCTATAGGGATGATGTCATTGACAAAGAAGTGTTGTGAAAGAACCGAAGGTGGATTCTCAAAGGGGAAGAACCCTCCTCCAGGAAAAACCACTGCCCTGGTGGTTTTCTTCTTATGAACTGCAAGTCTAAACTTGTTCAAACCTCACTCTCTTCCTGCCTTAAACACCAATCTAAAGAACATTTGCACTCCCCTGTGCTTTGTCTCAGGGCAAATGTCTTTTGCATGCTGCAATCTCGGGATTGCTGTTACATTTTAATATATAACTGATGAAACTATAGTCACCAGTAAGTCATCTGAAGACTTTGTAATAAATTCTCAAGGTCTGCAACCTACAGTCTATTTCTGGGACATGTTTTAGACAGCTCCAGGCCACATATATATGAATCAAAGTTCTAACTGACACTTCCTGAAGGACCAGAACTGCACAGTCCTACCACTCAAGCTGGGCCTGGGCCACTATGTGAGCTAAGGAAGCCATAGATTTGGAAAACATACAGGACTCCAAAAGTTTGTTATCATGGAAAAAAACCCCGTCATGAACTACAGACACTGAAATCCACACAAAGAGAGAGACACCTTCAGACTTTCTGATCTGGTTCCTAATGAAAGGAAGAATTGCAGTCACTTGCATATAGGCTGCATGAGCAGTGTTCAGCCAAGCAGGAGGAGAGTGGGTGGTAATCACTGGCTGGGGTGTACGCTTTTGTAAAATATGAAACTGGAACAGAGATTCTCTTCCAGGAAGAGGAACACAAACCATCTTTTCATATCTGATGCCTGCTAACTGACTCACATTGCAATCTCTGTCTTCATTGCTTGGGAAAGATTACTGAAAAAATGTGCAACAGTTGAAGCACAGGTCAAAGTGACCAACTTCTCTGGTCAAGCTACTGACTTCAGTCTGGAGATAACTGGTCTGGGTCCAGTTTTTGATAAATCCAAAGGTATTAGCTCAGATATCAGCAGCTTTTGAAATCTGTACTGCCAACATCTTTCCCTCAGTTGTGAAATGTGATGACATTCACGGTGCAGTGCTCTCTGAGTCACTCTGGAAAATTCCTTCTGGGAATTAACAATCACCTTCTTCAATACATCCTTTATTCCAGATTCCCACAACTTGTTTCTTCAAATAGCCATTACTTGTTACGTGGACTCACACGCATGCGCCAGGCATCACTCAGCACCCATTCGGACATGTACCCTATCTATCAAGAGGCTACAAACCAAGAGAGGCACTCGAGAAACCCCTAGAGGCTGGCGGGTGGCAGCCTGCGGCCCTCAGGCTGGCAACAGCTCTCTCTTTTTCATCACGCAGCCATCACGCCAGGCGTTCCCAGGGCGCGGGGGAATGCCCAGGAAACGGGATGACCGCGTTCCCACCCTCTCCGGCCGCCCTCCATCTTCCGGGCGCCGCTCGGCGAAGGCTGCGCGGCTCCCCCAGCCCGGCGGGATCTGGGGACACACGCGGCCGCCGAGGCCCCCGGGTGCCCCAGACAGCCCCGGTGTGCCAGCGGGACGGCGGCTCCGGGGTGCAGCCGGGTCACCGCTCGGTGCTTGATCCGCGGAGGGGTCCGAGGGCGGCGAGCAGGGGTCGGTACCTCGCTTAGCGCGAACAGCCCGTAGGCCGCCAGCCAGACGGCGGAGGTGGCGGCGCTGAGCGAGCGGAGCTGCAGGCGGGGCCCGCGCACGGCCAGCTCCCGGCAGGACGCGCTGTGCTGGCGGCGCCGCAGTGCGATGGGCGCCCCACAGGCCGAGCGGAACCGCTGCTCCTCCGCCATGGCGGGAAGGCGGAGCCGCGGCCGTGGCCCCAGAGCGGCGGGCGGGGCCGATCCCGCCGGGCCTGGCCCCGCGGAGTTACCGCGGCCGTGCGGGAGGAGCCTGAGCCGAGGGAAGCCCTCCAGGCCCGGCACTCTCTCCCCGGCCGCCTCCCGAGCAGCGCCCGCCCCGCCGCGCCCGGCCCCCCTCTGCCTCCGGGGTGGTGCCGAGGGTTTGTCTGGCTTGGTTGAGCCTCGCTAGGCGTCTGTCCTTAATCCCGATGACATCAGAAGTTTCCGCGCTTTGCACATGTTGATAATTCACTGCCCGCTTCCCTCTGTTTTTTGAATATCAGTTTTAAAGGACACAGGTTTTAGTGGTGCTGTGTGTGTCTTGCCGCGATGAAGAGACGGAGGCTTTCATAGAATCATAGAATGTTAAGGGGTTGGAATGGAGTTTAAAGATCATGGAGTTCCAACCCTCCTTCCATGAGCAGGGACACCTTTCACTAGACCAGGTTGCTCAGGGTCTTATCTACTCTGGCCTTGGAACACTGCCAGGGATGGGGCATCCACAACCTCCCCAGGCAACCTGTTCCAGTGTCTCACCACCCCCACAGTAAAAAATTTCTTCCTAATATCTAATTTAAATTTCCCCTTTTGAGATTTGTACCCATTACTCCTTGTCCCATCACTACAGTTCCTGACAGAGTCCCTCTCCAGCTTCCCTATAGTCCTGCTTCAGATACTGGAAAGTTGCTATGAGATTTCCTCGCAACCTTCTCCAGAAGATTCTCTTTCCCCCATTCATCTTTACCACTTGTGACTACGTAAATGTATTTTCTTGTCTGTACCATGCTTAGCTACAAGCTCTTTTGAGTGTTTTTTTTTCAGTAATTTTTTTTCAAAGTTTAAAGCAGTGTTTTCTGGTTCCTTGCCAAGTACATAATGAATTGGAGACTTGGCTTTGCGTACACAGACTTAATGAGTCTTTGTATTGTGTTCTCTATAATGCATTTCAGTTATTACTTCATGTGACTTACCTGGCAGTGATATAAAGCTACACCTCTGTAACTTCCAAACTGCCATCCTGACTCCCTTGGTCTTTTTATTATTTCCCTTCTCTCATGGTTTTGGAGTGAGTCTTAGCTTTAATTGCAGGTGCCATCTTTCCGTGAGCAATTTTCTTCATTCACAATATCTTCAGAGATCTTGGGTAGATACTATGTATATAAACCTATTAACTTGTTCTTGTAGAGGCAGCAAAGGAGTCTTTAACAGACATGAGAAACCAAGGGGCATTGAAGAATTACTACCAAGGTCTTTGTTTGGTCTGGAGGAGTGGGTGATGGTTGGCATTAGTGGGGCACTCATGCCGTATGTCCAGGATCTCACTGTGACACAAGAGACCAGATGGAAGGATGGTCTGGAACTCTGAAGAGGAAAGGTGAGCTGACCTGGAGGGGGAAAAAATAACAGCAGGCAATGAACTGCAGAAATGAAGGAGAAAATGTTGAAGTTCAAAAGAGGGTGAAAGAAGTTGATGGATGGAGTGAAAGGGGAAAAAAGTAATAAATTGAAAACAGTGTTACAAGTTTTTAGAAGAGGGAATAAAGATGAGAAGGACTGAAATAAATAAGCTCTGGTATGACAGCCTCAGAGATGGGGACAGGGAGAAGGGGAAAGAGAAATCAGAGTACAGGGTAGAAGAGGTAAAAGCAGTGTGAAAAGCAAGGTCATTGATAGAAGGGAAAAGAAACATGAGCTCCTGGAGGAGTCGTAATGGTAATTCACAATAGCAACAATACATGGGGAATTACTGAGATGCAGAGGCAAGGAGAGGACTTGGAAATCTTAAGAGGAAAAAGCAAAAGTTTGCTTGGATTTTTTTTTTTTGTATCAGTGGCAAGTCCCAGTTAACCAAGTTTGTGCCCTGTCATCTCATGAACACTCTCAGCTTTTCTTTCAAGCGTGTACATAAGACTGCTCATTTGTCAGTGGGAGGCCTGTTGCCTTGTCACAAAAGGGAAAAACAAGGGCCTTTACTCGTTTTGAAATAATTTGTTAACCATCCTTCAAATATGCCGTGAATAGGAACAGTTGGAGCTTTCAGACTTGAGAATCGTCTCAGGCCACGACCCCCCTAGACGAGATACTCGAGGCAGGTGCTGGAGAGGTGGCTCTCTCTGTGTTATCAAGGTCATCAGATGAGGAGCGTCACTCCGCTTTTCCTTCACTAAAGCCAGGGAGCGGCGTTCCCGCACGAAAGCTCTCGGGAGTTCTGCGTGGCCGAGATCCCGCTTATGCTCCGAGCCCTCGCGGCGGGTGCCCCCTGCCCCGCTCCCTGCCTGTCCCCCCGGCAGCGCGAGGGGCGCCGGTATCGCACCTGCCCCACCGATGGGGCTACGGGGGGAGCCAAAGGCACCGCCGCCCCGCGGGGGCCCGGCAGCCCTGCCCGCACCGGCAGCGGGATGAGGCGGCGGGGAGTGGAAAAACCCCGGGATCAGCAGGAGGAGCAGCAGGAGGAGCAGGACGAGCCGCGTGCGCCGCGGAGGGGGGGCGGGACACACCTCCGGGCGCGCGCGCTGCCGTTGGTCGGGCGGCGCGGGGGTGTGGGGGGCGGGGCCGCGGCGCGCGCGGAGCGGGGGGGGGCTCGGTGAAAGGAGCGGCGCGCGAGCGGCGCGCGGCAGCATCGCCCGGCACCGGTGGGCAGCGCGCGCCATGTCCCTGCGCGGCGGCCTCGCGCGGCTCCTGCGCACGCGGGCGGACGCGGCGCCGCAGCCACCCCGGCGCGCGCGCTCCGTGGCGCTGGTGGGAGCGCCGCTGTCCCGGGGGCAGGTGGGCATCGCGGGGCATCGCGGGGCATCGCGGGGCATCGCGGGGCATCGCGGGGCATCGCGGGGCGGGGGGCGCCTGGCTGCGGGCAGCGCTGTCTGACGCGTTCCCCTTCTCTTTGTCTCGCAGAAGCGGCGGGGAGTGGACCACGGCCCCGCGACCCTCCGCGCCGCGGGGCTGGTGGAGCGGCTGGCCGGGCTCGGTGAGGCACCGCGCGGCGCGGCGGGGCGGGGGTGGCGGCGGGGACTGCGGGGATGCCCGCATCGCCCCCCTCCCCTTTCGGGAAAGCGTGACTCAGCCGCTCGCGGCGGGGTGCGGGGAGACGGGTCCCGCTTCCAGTCCCCCCCGGAACCCGCCGTGCCCTGGGGCCGGCGATGCCCGCAGCCTGGCCGCGGTGCCGGGAGGGAGAGGCTTTGTCGCATTCCGCACCCGGGCCTCGCGGGGTCCCCTAGAACAAAGAGAGGCCGATGCTCCGGCTCCCCGAGCGATGCGCTCCGGCTGCTCGGGAGCAGCGGGGAGCCGGGAGCGGCTGTGCCGCACAGCGAGCGCTGCACCGGCACATGGGACGTGTGCTGTTCCCGTGGTGACTCCCGGAAAGCTGGAGAAGCCAGAGGCCGTTCGAAACGCTGTGTGCCCTCTGTGCATCCAGCAAAGTAACCCCTGACGAGATCCTCTGTTTCTCACACTGTATAGGTGGGGGGGTTATGGGTTTTCTTTCGTTGTTGTTTTTTTTTTCTCTCCCATGTACCTAACCAGCTACGTAGCTTGTTCCTAAAATGCTTGTATGCTTTCAGGTGATGAAATTCAGAGCTTTCTGGAGAAATCTGCAGTTTTGTGTATGAGGTCTTGCCTGCAGCTTTACTTTGAAAACTTGCAAATACCACTTTGTGAATGGAGAGTTTCTGGTCTTTTTGTGCAAGGAAACCCATGCACTTATTTGTGATTCAGCTTCTCCATCTAATCCTTCTACAAGCTGAGACCTGCAGAAAACTGTATCACAGTTTATTAGAAACAGGACATGAGGGATAGAAACTTGTAAAGCCAAACTCTGTCTTGGAGAATCTTTAACCTGAGAAGTGTTAACTGAAAACTGTATGATGGGGATGAATTGCAGGGCTGGACCACAGAAAGAACTGTTATCTGCTCTCTGTGTGGTTAGTCAGTGGAGTTAAGATGCATACAGAGATAATAATCCTAATAATCCTCTAGCGATTTTATTCTGAATTTTAAGATCTCTTTAAAACAAAAGCAATTATTATGTGTAGTCCTTATTCTGGTAAATCCTGTAGCCTTATCCTGCATATCTTGTGATTCACAAGTTGAAAAGTCCCAATTTGCAATGAGATGAGTAGGCATTCTCTTCCTGTCTTTTTTGTGCAAAGTAGAGACACATGCTGTCCTTGGCAATATTTGAATTCTACTGAGCATGATGTATAAGCTCAGAAAATGTTGAAGAGGGCATCTAAAAGAAGTTTTATATACTGGAATAGTTACTGAGCTTAGAGTTTATTTAAAACGAGCAAGTTACCAGATTTGAAAGGAGGATGTTACTCAAAATAAGACTGTAGGCAACAGTTTATTTCATATTAATAACAGACTTTTATAATGGAAGGCTTGGAGTTCTCTTTCAAGTGGTTCAGAGCTAATATTTCCATTTTGTAAGAATTCTTTAGCAGAAAAAAAAAAACAAACCACAAAACCCGACAAATTTAAAAACTAGGAGAAAAAGCCCTCTCATTTGCATGACATAAGCTCACTTCAAAGGAACTTGTAGAAGATAGAAAGAAAAGAGAATTCAAGTTTTTTCTGGATTCCAGTGACAAAATGTTGTGGGGATAGAAATGAAGCAAGCTAAACTAAAAAAAAAAAGTGGAAGGTGAAAAATACTTTGACTGTTTAGTTGCTTATAGACTGTTTGCTCATCAATCAGTAATGCACATGGAGATATTTTGTTGCTGTTCCCTTACAATTTCTTCCTTCTGCAATTGCAGTTTCCTATTGCTGGCATGTTCTTCCACTGGGGTAGGGTTGGTCTGTTTTTGTCAGCTGGGGTTGGTCTACTGCTGCTTAAATCTCTGCAGCTCTTTAAAGAACAGGTTCTACTGTGAGGACCCATCCTGAAACAATGGCAGTCACCAGCATGCACAGAGGAATGGTTTACAGAGCAAAGACAATTTGCTTGAGGGTAGAGTGGT